TTTTTTTTTATTGTAGTTTCTTAGCATTATATACAGTCACAACGGTCCTGATATTTTATAGCTTTTATTCTTGTAATACAGACCATAAATAACATAAAGTGATTCCTTTTCTTAGTCATTACAGGAGTAAACTTTGTCTTTAAGCATGATTATATTTTGCTAACAATACATTAAAAAAGGCAAGTAACACTACAGCACTGTGAAGTAATATGGGTCAAGGTTATGCCTGGTAAAGGCAACACACTCTCAGGCTTTAAGCACATACAGAGGAAACACAAAAATAAGAGGTCAGTACAGCAACCCTAGAGCACAGCACTTCAAGTTTTATCCTGGCAGCTGTCAAGCAGTTAATGTTGATGAAGGTATCTACAGAACTATAAAGCATTATTATTACATATGTCATGCCCCAAGTTCTTTTTACCTGTACGACATTATATACTAGAGCAGTTTGGATGTGAAATATTTCTGTATCACCACAATAAATCACCGCTCACTAAAATGCCACAGTGCTGAAAGGAAGTGCTAGAATTACTGCCAATGCTAGTACTACCAGAAATCAAAACCTGTCAGACGCTATACGCTTAATATATCTCTCTTCCGTACCCACTTTAAATTGTAAAGAGGCCGTCAGAAGCAATGAAACACCTCATTAAAGACACTATTACTTAAATTGAAGGATGTCAAACAGTGGCAAATTATTCTTTTAAAGGCTTGATTACTTCCGAAGACAACGAGCACCAAAGTAATGCATGTCGGCTAGAACTAAAATGCAGAACATCCTGTGAAGCGTATTACAAACACAAGATAGTTCAAGCGTATTTTAGTATTTTTGTCACAATATCCTCACATCACTTGATCAATTTAAAATACCCTGAGAAATGACAAAATGTGCTTATCTGTAACTTCCACACACATTTAAGCATAAAGGTAATATTTCAACTAAAAACTACAGAGCCAGATAACGCCTGCTCTAATATTTGATCCATATGGAAAGATTGAAGGAATTGGGGTTGTTTAGTCTAGAGAAAAGAAGACTGAGGGGAGAAACGATAACAGTCTTCAAATCAGCAGCGGTTGAAAAGGAGAACAAATTGTTCATGCCTATGGAGGAAGGAACAGGAAATAATGGTCTTCTCTAGCAGATCCTCCTGATTTTGCTTTTTTTCCCTCTACATTGAAACTGGCCATGCAATTCCACAGTGAACTCAGTGTGATTTTCAGTAGACCATATTCAGTCTGCCTATATAAACAGTTTGCAAAGACCTTCTAATCTTCAGGGTAAATGTGAATAATAAAATTAGAAGAAAAAAAAAAGATTCCAAAATTGTCAATGTATTATTTTCTAGTCCTTCTTCATAAGGACTTTTTTCTTTTCAGCTAGTACGAACCCCACTGCTTGTCTAACTTTTGTCTACTTTCAATTTTATAGTCACAGCATCAAATTCCAAGGAAAAAGAGCATGCAGACCCCTCAGGGTCAGAAAAAAAACACTTCCATGTAAAACTGAATTTTCATGGACAAATTAAATTGCTGTCTCTTTTAGAGATTTTTCTCTTTAAATATCACTTAATCTTCTTCCAAAAAATATTCAGCTGCATCACCAGTATGCATAACCTTTCCAAGATAACATAAAACAGATCCTGTCTGCTGTTTTTAAATCTGCTCAGTGCTAATAAGAGTCCATGTCATTTCTTCCCCTTCAGTGCTCCCCCCACCTATGCAAGCATCTCCTACATGGATAATATACTCTTAAATTTCCCAGCACAGAGAAGTCACTCACCTAACCTCAACATTTCCATTGAGAGAGCATGAACGAGTGTAAAGAAAACTCTGAGCAGAAAAACAAGTAATACCAGCCAGCTTATCTGCCGTGAATAAAGTATTACAAGGAGCCACAGAACCAGGCCATCTTCCATCTTTTCTTTATTGTCCTTCCAAACCGTTGCACGTCCCTCCAGATCTCCTGATTAAAAAAAAGAAAAAAAAAAAGAAAAAAAAAAGTACTACTTGGACTGAATTGCTCTGAGAAAATAAAGTCTTACATGTAATATTTTTCTTCTCTCAAATACAGAACTTAGCATTAGTTACTGCTTGGTCTTTTCCTACATTTCTGTCAACAATCTCCTTGCAACTTCCATCTGTTTGGAACACAAAAAGAACACTATCCCTTATAAGCCTATTCCCACTCACTTCACAGCCTAAAATATTACTAAATCAGAGTGCTGGAGAGTGCTAGTATGTTCTTATATACGTTATGTATCTTTTTTCCATTTTTATCATACACCTCTGAACATCTCAGTCAATAACATTAGTACAAGTGTAGAAAATACAACTTAAGAGCAGATGAATATTGAACAGGTAGCTGATTACTAGCTGGATTATAGTGATAAAAATGGAGTGAAATGCTACAGTGAGCCTTCGAAATCCAGTTTTTAACTGTTTGAATTCTATGTGGTACATGTGTTTATTGCATTTTCCCTATTGTTTAGGTAAAAATATGAACTACTTTGTAACACAGCTACAGTGGCAGAGTTTTCTACAGCCCACACCTAACTACTACAACAAATTAGCGTATCTTTGGATTTTGCTGCTTCTACAGTGAATCTTAATCCTGTAGCAAGTCAAATACCGTTAGTGTATGATGATGCAATGCTGATTCATAATTCTAAGTTCTCAGCACCTTATTATACCAAAGGAGAAAATACACGTACACCCAGTGCACTGAAACTGTACTGACACATACAATAATTTAACATAGGAAACAGTAAAGTTTCAGTTCTGCTTGGGTATTTAATGAAAAACATGAGTGTGAAACATATCAACCCCTTATGGGAGGGTCAAAGAAGGACTCAAAGAAGTTTCCAAAGCTTTAACAAATTAACTTGCTTGGTTTTAGCTCAGAAGAAAAAAAAAATCAAGCAGCTGAAAAACAACCAGATAAACATCTTGAGTCATGCCCTGAAGCCTGGTAGCTCCCAACATTAAGAGTCCAGAAGACTCCCAACACAAGACTCCAGAAAAGCCCCTAATTTTAATGCCAGGACCCACTGCACAGGTCAGCTGCCAAAATTAAGGCACAGATTTAGTTTCAGTGCATTCCAACAGGGATCTATTAGGGTGATGACTAAATGAGATGCTAATCAGGATCAGCTGAGCAAGAGTTTTGTCTTGGCCTTCCATCTCCGGTGCTTGTTAAGAGGGAACCACTGGCCCTGTTTTCTGCCCCACCTGGTGACTGGGTTTCCACTAAAGTCTCACTGCCAGCAGAGGCAGCAGTGCAGGGGGCAGGTACGGCCGAGCATGTAACAGCAAAGAACTCGTGTTGCATATGGAAAGCCAAGCGCAGGATCGTGCAGGAGCCCTCTGCAGCCGAAGGCACACAAGGGCATGCCTATGGCCCGTTGGAGCTTGGATCAAGAGTGCATGTTTGAAGAGGGGCTTCCAAAACCCCAGCCCATGCCAGTGTCTTGGGGCCTTGGTGTGCAAAACCAGATCCCTTCAAGAGAAAACAAAGCCAGGGGATGAGCTCCAACCTGCATCGCCAACTGCTGGGCAGCTGGTCTGCCGCAGTCTGGCTGTGCAGCAGTGTGGGCATCAGCCTTGTGGCACTCGGCAGCCACGGGCACCACTCCGGCACCGCTGCTCGGCCGCGGTTACGTGGTTTAACTCGGAGCGCTTGTGCTCTTGTCATTCCTCTGCTTGTGGTGTTGGAGTATCTATTGCTTTATTTTCTTTCGTATCCTGCAACGTGAGAGGCCGCCACAGAGCCTGAAGGCTGGCAACTTTTGGGCACAGAAGGCAACAGGGCCAAGGCTAAGCCCGCCTGCCGGCGCGGG